CTGGTACTGGTGCTGGGGGCAACACTTGAGCCAGCGTCAGCAATTTTATTAACACCGGACGCGTATTTCAACGGCACCGGAAATGCAATACCAACAACAAAGGCTACTTGGCAACACGTTCAGTGTGTCAATGTGTGTGCTGCCATGCAAATTCGTATTCGAAAATTGGGTGTAGAGCCTAGTCGGAGCTACTAGTTGGCGAGCGGCAGCAATAACCGCATACAAGAGCAGCCAGCAGCAGCAACAGCAGCAGCTTCAGAACCCGGTAATAATGCCTTGACAGCACAGGCTGCAACATGGGGCTGCAACAACAGTTTCTGCAAGCGCGTTGATTATCCCAATCAGCAACACTTTACCAGCGTAAATCTATTTAATTTGCCATCAGCCGCCTAGCGACTGCCTCTGTCTCTGTCTCTGCCCCAGCCCCATCCTTTCCCTCTCCAGTCTCCACGCCCCTCTTCAATCGTTTGCCCCTCCGTTTGCTAACCACAAATCAGCTGTTTTGGCCGTCCGTCCGTCGCTCTTGTTAAATGTAATTGAACCTGTTCTTAGAGTTTTGTTTCGTAATTTATTATTGGTGCATGAGTTGCACGCCGAAAAGCAATGGAACAAGCAATGGAAGGCAAGCTCCTATGGCCGAATCCTTGGATGCTCTTCCCCTGACAGCTGGATGAGATTGATATAGAGAATCGATCTTCGAGGGCTCCAAAATTGTATAATGTGTGCAGCACAAAGATCACAAGTATTTGTCACAAGTGTAGTCTAAGACTGAGACTTTGTGCTAAAAACAATCGTAATTCACCTTAGAAAGGGTATGAAAATAGCTCAAGCTGGGAGAGCTGTTCAGCTCCACGAACATCATCATCATCATCATCATGATGATGGTGGGTATGCTGATGATGATGCTGATGATGATTGAGCGGCATGGCATGCGAAGATCGCGCGCTCTTTTTTTTTTGCGCCCAGATCGTGCCTGACGCGTAATTGATTATTACGAGAAGTACGACGAAGCGCTGCAACACCAGCAACACAAAACTGCAACATGCAACAACAGCAACATGCCAGCATAATGATGTATTAGTTAAACTTGGCCAACCGGTTCGCATTTCGGCCATGAAAAACGGTTCAGAATTAGGAGCTGTGATTACATGGCCATTTCCCCATTGCCTCTGCCTCTGCCCCGTATCCAGTCCGTATCCCATCAGAGTGCGTTGAAATTGAAAAGAAGTAGGCATCAGGTTAGTTAGTTACCTTTCCACTTGAGCGGATAGCTATGGGCATGGCCATGGCCATGGCCATGGTGCTGCTGCTCCAAGATTGGAGTGCACTCACAACGTTTTGCAGGAATGTGGGGAGAGGCGCGCGCTCACAGGAAATGTGATGTTTAGAGTGGGCTCTCTGGCCTTTGTGTGCTCTAAATGATAGAAAGGTACGGAAAACGAGGATTATGGAATGTTTTTTTTATGGCACGGATGAGCATGGGCCAAGGGTTGTTCAAAATATAAAATAAAGAATTAGTAAGTGAATTGGTAAAATGGAGAGCACAATACATACTACTAGAGACTAGTTCTACTAGTTCTACTAGTTCAATGCATAAATCGAAATTTTTAAAGAGAGAAAAGCCTAATTCTCGCCTTGTATTTATCATATATTTGAGTTTAATATTTCCATTTGTTATGTACGAATATTTTAGAGATTCTTCGATGCAAAAAAAAAGACTGAACTTATTTCCCAATTACCATATTTCTGGAACTAGCAATGAAAAATGTAACCCCAAACCGGGGTTCTTCATACAAGTATTTTTTTTTTTTTTGACAATGCCAAACACTCTGACAATTGGCTGTATGTACGTACGAGTATCCCCCATGTATCGTATCTAATGGCTGCCGACCAAATTGACAGCACAAAAAGCTATGCAGGGCCGCCGACAACGAGGCCCATAACTCATAAAATGCAGCACATACCAAATACCAAGGGTATGCCAGCCAGCTACACTCCACCACACTCAGCTCCACGAGAAAACTCCAATTTTAATTGCTCGACATTAAACGATCGACAACGACAGCGGCGGTGGCAGTGTCGGTGGCGGCTCCAACGACGACGATGACTACGACGCGAAAGAGGAGCGAGAGAGTGCGCTGAGGCAGATATATGTATGTATACCAAGCAGTACAGTTCGCAGTGCCATAAAATATGCGCACGTTTCGTTTGTTTGCCGTTTGTTTGCATATGCCCTGGCTATGCCGGCCCAGACAATATGGTCCAGGTCCCGGCCGGGGCAGACAGCATTTAGCGTACGATTTGGCGGCGCGAAAAAGATAAACTCATAAATTATGGCATTGAATGTCACTTCAGCGGCAGCAGCGAAGACTGCGACGCAAACGGAGACGGAGATGGAGACGGAGACTGAGACCCGGCGGTTGTTGCCACCGCGAACGCGAAATGCCGACAATAGCTGGAGCGACAAAGTCGACTTCACCGTCAGGATGTGTCCGCTGGCTGGCTGGCTGGCTGGCTGCCTGGCTGGCTGGCTGGGGCACCGGCGATAATGAAGCCCATTTTAAAGTCACTACCATTCAATGCGATTTGATTTACAATCCCATTTCGATTATAATCGATGATGATGTGTGTGCGCGCTTCGGCCAAGCCATGAACTTGCATATAAATACCAATCTGTGTCTTTGCCAGCCCATCCAGTAATCCAGCAAGAGAGCCCGAGCCTGAGCCTGAGCCTCAGCCTCAGCCAGCACCCAGGCAGGCAAATGCTAAGCAGAAGCAGGCGGCTGGCGGAGCAGTCTCTAGCGGTTTTCGAAGGAAATCGAATTGCTGCTGCTGCTGCCAGAGATTCGAGCTGCCGAGCTTTAGTTCAATCTGGTCTGCCCCACAGGCGGCACGGCACAGTGGTTCAGATATCTGAAATACTCCTACTACAACGTCTACCTCAACAAATTCGCCAAATAATCATCATTTAACACCACTGTGAAGAGTGTCGTTTCTGTCCGCTTTACCTGTTGGCGCAATTGAACTTGAATACGTTTCGGCTTTGGCGTTTTAGTTTAGTTAGCCCGCCGCCAACTTGTCAGACAATCGAATGCGAAGCTAACGAATCCAGCAGCACCACAACCACCGCCACCGCCACCACCGCCGCCGCCACACCAAACCACCAACCAGCCACATCGTCATCCCATCTCCCCTCTGCACCGTACCCGATCATTGTCGCATCCGCCACCCGATGGTGGCAATTGTTTTGATGGCTGTTGATAACTGCAGCAGCAGGGGATGTGCTCCGACTCCGCCAACGACTCCGATCGGTCGATGCCAGATTCCACCAGGGACCGACCCCGAAATAAGCCAGACAAAACACAGTTCAATACAATGGAAGTTTCATACTTTGTCAACCGTCTGGCAACAGTTCTTTATGTGCTTTTAATTGAAGCTGAAACCATTAACATTAACATTCAGCTGGCCGCTCCATGACCAACCAACAACATCCACCAGCCCACGCAAACTCCGCTTAAATTTATTACAACTTAATTGGTAATGTTGTCGTTGTCGTTGTCGTTGCCGTTGCCGTTGCTGTATGCTGTTGCTCTTGGTGTTTCTCTGTGTTGTGCTTACAAATGTGTCTTTATTTTTGGCGCAACGCCTACCAAATAAACGGACTATGTTTATTCTGGAACTGGGCGGGTCCTGGTCCTCAACCGGACGCCAGTTTATTTCGATATGGAACAATATGCAAATGGGAAGCAGTAAATTTACCATTTAGCTTGTTGTTTGCTCAGTTTTACCGAGCAAGCATTAGGATACTATAAATAGCCATGTGATAAATCTTCAATGTACTTAAAGATCGGTCATCTATATCCCGTTTATACTTGGGAACAAGTACATTAGTCCCTTGAGATCAACCATAAACGGGAATAGACTGGATAAATTCATATTTTGATGTGAAGTTTCCGCGCATTTTACCAAAAATGCGGCACTGACCCGCCATAATCATTCACTTTGAGCACTGCTTTCCCACTGCTTCCCACTGCTTTTCCACTGCTTTTCCACTGCTTCCCCACTAAACGGAAAAGCAATCGCATATGTGCCTAGAATGCCAGATTCCCAGACAATTAGTTCGAAAAAAAAGTTCAAGTCGCCCACTCAAGAGTCCCGCCAACGAAATGGACCAAAATGTGGCTACCAAACATCGCATCCATAATTTCGTGAACAATTTTCGGCCATGAGGGGAGCAGGGGAAACAGTGGAACCGGCTCGCATGGCCACGGAGGACGGTGCACAGCAAAGGCAAAGTGCAGTGATAAATCAAATTGTCACTTTGGTATATTTTGCGCCAACTGACGACGACGACGTCACCCTTGGAACCGGGCCGCAGTGTCGGCATGCAAAAGGAAGGCACTGGATATGGAAATGGATTGGAGAGGGGCCCGACCCGTGCGTGCAGGAGCGCCTGCTTTTAAGGGGCAAGGAGGGTGGTTCGGGGCCGGAGAGAGCCACTACGAATGCATTTCACTTTGCCGACGCGCGACGAGTCATAATTATTATTATTTTGATTATTGCACGTGAAAGATGACATTATTAACATCATTACTGGTTGTGCAACAGGGGGGAAACAGGAGAAACGCACACGTACATATTCTGTCCTGTCCCCAAGCACCGGCAGCTCTTTTGCACTGCGAGAAACACAAGTTGGAACAAAATTTGGCTTGTAGAAACAGAAAATTGCGGGCTTTTTCCATAATTTGTTTCCCTCTAGTTTAAATCGAGTACAATTTGCGTTAAAGCTCTACCACTTACCTAATATTTAGCACGGTCATTGTTTAAATATTTGCAAACACAAAAAAACACACGAAACTTGAAAAAAAAAAAACTAATTGCGCAGCCAAATTAGCACACCGACTGATTGCCATTCATTCAGCTATCGATTGCAGTAGTGAGGAGTCAATTGAATATCGATGTGTGTGCTACCGATACTTGACAATTACTCTGAGTACATACTCGTTTAATTTGTTTATTTTGTTTTTTTATGAGGCTACTGTATGGCAGCGGCGACTGTGCATCCATTCCCCTCCTGCTCCAGCTTCCGAGCATTCTTAGCGGATAGTTTTGGCCCACTGAATGGCCTCCTCTTCATCCATTTGACTGGATGTGTCGATGCTCGCCAAACATTCAGCCGGTGGGTAAGTGTCCATGGAGGTCGCCTCTTTCCAGCTGGGACTCTTCAGCTGCTCCATAATCTTCTCATGCCGCTCCGAACAAAACGGTTCAACGACTATATAGTGCGGATCATTGGATGTTGGCAGGTCGTACATATGTTCCCTGGTGAATGAAGCCAGTTGTTGCACCTTTTTGATGAACGCAACTCGGTCAGTGGAGAGCATAGTCAAGGCTTCCATGTTGTACGCTTCCTCCATGTACACTCTGTCACCGGAGGGAGTAAGACTGGTGCAGATGCTGCTGTCCGGATCGGCGAAGATGGCCTGAATATACTTGAGCAGGTGCCAGATGTGGTGGTGATTCTTGCTCCACTCCGTGAAGAAGGGCGCCAGGTCCAGGCTTTGAGTCTGCGGGCGAATGTGTGGATGGTAGCACGCCGTTGTAAAGATGACCGTGGGCAGGCTGGTAACGTTCGGAAAGTTGTCCGGCAGCATTATGGAGAAGCGGAACATGCTCTCCGCATAGAATCCACTGTGTATGAAGATAACTCCGTACCAATGCAGTGCACTGGCATAGCTGGGTATGGCGTATATGTTCCTTAGCTGCTCCTGTTCGATCAGATGGTATTCGGCCAGCACCTGGTAGCCCTGGCTCACGACAGCGCTCTGCTCCGTGTTGTTCCAGCTAAACCACATGGTAGGAGTCCAGCTCTTGAAGGACAGTAAGGTTTTTGTGCAACGATCATCAGGAATACTATTAGAAACTCACCTGTTGATGCCTAATATAAATACTGATGTTAAATTTTGAAGAGTGGACTCCGCCAGAGGTTAGCCAGGGAATTTGTAAATGTCCCGAACTGGCTAAAATGTACAAAACAAATACATTCTACACAAATATGACACATATTGCTCAGATCCGAAAAATTGCTGGAAAAAAGTGCAATATAGCAGAGTGTGACCAGCTCGCATTGCTCAGTCAGCTGTGCCAACTGTCAACTAATCGGTATTTAATTTTTCACCGCCAAAATTTCTTATCGGTTTTTGTATCATCCCTGATTTTGCTCGCAAAACTTTTCTGCGGTCAGTTTGCCGCCAAAATTGCGAACAGTGTAAAGAGCCACTAAAACAACATTGAATTCACTTACATTTATGCGGCATGTCAGCCGACTACATACTACATACAAGTGAGAAACGGGAATTGTCCACAGGGACAGCGAAAAACTATGTATGTCCAGTCGCAACAGCAACAGCGGCGCAGCAGAACCACGGGACGCGGCGAATGTTTCACTGTCGGATGGAGCATGAAGAGCCACTTTCTGGGCACCTGCGGACGGACGCCGAGTAAGCTGTGGTCGCAACTGGTACTCAGCGGCATATTCAATCATGTCAAGTGTAATAATTTTGCGAATTCCACGTACATACATATGTACATATGTTTGTGGTTATGTGCGATCCTTCGGGAGGGAGAACTGGAGGATGAGACTTGGAAAGCAAGGTATACTAATTTAAGGTAAAGCATGGCCAAAGAACGATTTTGCAATAATAGTCAGTTACATTTCAGTGCTTCCTTTTGTCTCACCTTGGCAGAGACTGGGCACAACATTGCATGGATGGTGGACATAAACAAGCATGTGTACAGACATGTGCATGTGAGTGTGTGTGTGTGTGTGTGTTAGGGGCCAATGTTTGTGGATTTTTGATTTATTGTTGCTACGATGCTCTGATGTACGGTTCTTTCACGCACCGGCAACATAATGTGGCATTATAATGTCGCGTGTTTTGAGCAGAATGCTGCACGTGAATGTGTGTGCCTGATTTGTTATGAATTTATTATGTGACGGAAGTTGGAGCCGCTGGACGGTATGGAGAGAAACTCTAACTGGTCAAACGAGCGACGCGGAGCACACATTTTTGCATGGCACTTGCCGCAGCTGCTAATTGGAGACCTGCACCATCTTCCACCACTGACATTTCGGTTCCAGTAATGCCAGAGGGCAGACTACAGAATAATTTGATATTTTTTGGCACTTCTAATTGGGTTCTTCTCTTAGATTACAGGAGTATATGGAATTCGCGACGCATTCAACCACTCCAGTTGGGAACCAATTAAAGAACATATGGATGGTATTTTCAGGGTATTTTTCAATCGGAGCATCCGCTATAGCGTAACCTGTCGGTTCTCCTGTGCTTTGCAGCATATCGCAAACACACTCTGACAGAGACAGACAGACAATGACGCTTCCCTGATAAGTTTCAACCCAAAAAAGAGAAACAAGAAACGAATGCATAAACGTGCAGCAGAGATACGAAACGGGAATTGGTGAAAATAATGAACGGAAATACAACATTTTGGGGGAATCCAACTCATTAAAAATTATACTCCGATATGATGTGATATGATACGTTATGATTTGCGACTGGAGCAGGGAGACTTTCTTTATTTCGCTCCGACCTGGTGGTTAACGCCAGATGTCAGGGCCCTGACATAGGTGTAACACCCAGGCGTGGAAAGGGTTTTTTGCCGTGGCCACTCTTGTGTATTGGGCTTGCCTCATTTTCACCTACACTGCCCGCTGTAACCCATGTCAAAATGTTTGGCTAAAGGCGATTGCTAAATACGTGGCCGGATTTTGGGAGCAAGGTCCCGCCATATTGGCTTGCGGTGCACCTGTGGGTACTGGAGGGGACTGGCGTGGCTTGTCACTTGGTCCACGACCTCCACGCCAAACGCAACATTCAATTTCGGATCTCATTCGCCCTCAAACCCATATATGCGGGCCGCAATAATTTCTCCTTTGCCGCCTTCTTCAACTTCAACGCCAACTTCTTTGTGTTGCCCTTTTCTTCTTATCAGCTTTCTTCATTTATGCTACGCTGCGTTCTGGGACTCCGACTGCGACTGGGACTGGAGCCGGGACACGGCACATCGTATCGAGTCCAGGGCCCGGCCTGTTCTGTCTCAGTTTTTGAGGCCTCGGCATTTGTAATACGGTGGCATATAACACTTAAGTGCTTGTTGTTGTTTTATAAGATAAACTTTTGCAAAACCCACATACATACATATGTATGTACATATGTGTGTGTGTACATGTCTTCTGGCCAAAACTGAAATGAAAGAGCTGGCCCAATCACCCAAGCAGAGTGTGGGGAAATGGGGTACCGTGATGCCAATTCCATTTACTGGCACTTTCATTAACCAACCCACCAAAAAGTAAACGAATTGCATTTGTATTTTTAGTTCTCGCTGAAAGTTGCGGGTTGATGCTGATGCTGATGCAGGGCTCAGAGAATTGCCACTAAAGTTTGCTGTTACTCTGGAGGGATTCGCGGAACTGTACTCGAATGATATGAGTTTGTGTTTCAGATTCGGCAATAGATATCAATCAGTTATTCACAGTGAACGCTCGATTCTCGCATGGAATGGGGCTTCACTTGTTATTATTTGTTTTAAATGAAGGGCACTCTTTAAGTGGGAAATTGTATGTGAAACTTAATAATTGCATGTGTATATCCCATTTATACCAAAATACTTTATATTTTAGAAGACCTACGCGTTAGAGATAGATCAAAACGACCAGAAAAGAGGTTATTTAATACCGCACACAGGTAAGAAACGAAATGCATAAATGCTATCTATTTTTTAAAAAAAATTATTTTTCGCAGGTTTTGCTCTGCCACGATTTCCCACGAAGAGAGATAGAATAACATGGGCCCACCTGTATATATTCATTATGAATATGGACTCTTGTAGAATCCCCTCTCTGTACAAATGATGGGTGGAATCGGAAGGAAATAGCGTGGGCAATTATTTGATATATGTATGTATGCACAAAGCGTTGGCTGGCAGAGAAGGGATGATCACAGAGCCGGGCACTGTGTGTGGCATATTCAAATTCAAATTAGATTATATGCAAACACCGGCCACTCTTTCACTTGCCGTTCTTTATTATTATATTGGAATGCCGTACAAAAACAGCAGAGTCCACGAGGAGTATGAGGACTCGGATTCGGAATCGGACTCGGACTCGGACTACTAATATTTGCATAATCGCAGGCAGTAGCAGAGCCCAACCCGGACCAAGGCAACAACAATCCAAGCAACATGCGGCAAAGCAATTATTTCTTTAAAATAAATTGCATGCACAATTGGTAGCAATAGCAATTGCAACAACAGAAGCAGCAGCAGCAGCGGCAGCACCAGCAACAGCAAACAACAAAGTACCCATGGAAGACCACCAAAGCATGGATCCACAGAGTCAGAGTCGGAATCGGAATCTGACCGAATGCAGGTCCCATCGACGAATTTGGTCAGGACGGCTTTTTGCTGGCCATAGAAACCGAGACAGCAGTGGATAAGGGCGGTTCGGAGAGGCGTGGCAACTTAGCTCGTTTCTGCGATTTGTGTGTACGCCTCATTCGTTTATTTGCATATCGATTTGGAGTTTTTAGTCCGCCAGAACCCACTCGACCAACTTGGTCTCTGTCCGTCTGACTGTCCGTCTGTCTGTCTGTGTATCTAACTGTCTGCCAGCTTGCCAAAAACTATTCATCGGATCCTTGGCTTTATTTTGTTTGCAGCACAAACGATTGCATAATTGCCAGGCCCTCTAAATAATTCGAGTCTGTTTGGCCAGCATTTAGCCTTGGGCTGCCCACTCATAAATTCAGAGCTCAGCAATCTGCAATCTCAAGTGCAAATTCAATTTTTATAGCACACTTATCCTTACTTTGATAGTGGCTCCTCCAATGGCGACATTATGTCACCCGATATGCTCGATAAGCACGTGCCATTAGCTTGATTCCATCAAGGAGTCCATTTGGGCCGTGGGTGGGAGTGCAACAATTTTCCGCTCGAACAGAAGAACACTTGGACCAAGTTTTCGAGCAGTCACGTAGCCATAACGCGTCGGCGAGCCTCTTGACTCTGGCCTGGTCCTGCAGCAGCAGCAACAGCAGCAGCTATATATGTATGTAGTTGTTGCTGGGGAATTGAAAACTTGGTATGTTTTGCACCCACAAAATAGGGCATATTCGGCACTTGAGAAACGTTGAAAAATACTTTTATATATTAATGAAAACTCAAGTGAATGGCATTGATATTTTTGAGGCTTTTATAGGGTATCATATATTCCACTGCTCTCGCTGGGACTGGGCCATAATTAAAAATTTCCCTTGTTAGTGGCAGCTTTGCTGCTACCAAAGTAATACCAAAAAAAAAAAAACTCTTTAAGGGTGAAGCCCTCTAAGTCTGTCACTCATTATGTCCGCTCGCTTTATCATGTTCCCTGTTGACAGTCGCACGGACACAAATGAAGCAATTTTCCCGACATGCAAAACGTGCAACAGTTGCAACAGAGCAGAGTCCGCCGAGTTGGAATTGGAACTGGAGCAACTGTTGCTGCAGTTAATTTTCGTATATTTAATTCGCTTTAAATTATTGCAGAGCCACGGCCATGACGTTGGTAGCAACTGGCCGCGCTTTGATGTGCGCCCCATTACCCGCACCCCAGTCGAGACGTCAAAGGTAAGGAGAGCAACAGCCATCATCATCATCAGCAACAGCAGTGAAGCAGCAGCAGTAGGAGCAGCAGTAGCAGTAGCAGCTTCAGCTTCCAGCCGCTTCGTGGCCATCGATTTGCAAGGCAAATCAAAGGCTTAATGAATTCATTTCAATTAAACAAACGAAAAAGAATCAAATGAACAGCGATAGACGAATGCCAGAGACTGTCGTAGACAGTTTGCATTAATAAATCGTTTAGCTGGGAGCTCCGTTTCTTATGGGTAGATGTACATATCTCCCTGCCAATCCGTTTGAACTTGGCATTTGGCTGGAATCGGGGCAAAAAGCGGCCCCCAGCAGAAGCTTGTATTAATTGATTCTACCAGATCTTTGGATCGAGATGGGCCCCCCCGTTCGACTGACAACTAAGGAATGAGGCTGGTGCTGGTAGCCAAAGGTTACTCGGCGTGTAAGTATTGCTTAATTTTCATGTTCCATTGTGGCATTAAGAGTAAAATAAAATTAATCTTATTACAGAATGAATTCGAAAAAGTTCATGCTGTTGTGGATCCAAGGATTCCAAGAAGATCTTACTTGTACTCGAAACAATCAGCGGATTATTTGCCCATATTATATCCAAGCGTAAATAAGTATCTTTAAAAATCAATATATTTTTTTTAAGAACTTTATCTGTGTATTTCATGAACCTTCCAGCCGCGACTTTATTTACCAACAGCTTAACTTTATGTGCGGGGTCAGTCACCGAGATTTTCTGATTTCTCCCCTTTTTGGGGCAGCAACCGACAGCCGCATAGCTGATAAGCCTTAAGCTGCTTAATCGATGACCAGAGAGTTGTCAAAAAATAATTCACAGGCCCGGACGCGTACTCGGATGCGGCTGAAAGGTAAATACAGGAAGACAGCCAGGCCAGGCGTATACGTAACGTTATCAGTTTTTCAGATCTACCCTTTGGTGCTTTAAATGGTCCTCAATGTAGGTGGAGGAGGAGGAGCGGCATCGAGGAGTAGGACGGGACCCCCATTGGACGGCCAAATCAGAGTCTCCTTGTCGGGAGCCCTTACATGAGAAATATTTTAGCGTACAATGCAGAAATGGTAGCAGCTTCGCTGCGTTTCCTTATCAGTTCCAGCTCCGCTGACGTATGCACCCCAAAAAGAAGAACAAAGAAGGAGGAGGACCAGAAACAGAAACCGCGCTTGCAGATAATGCCACAATGAAGACAGCATAACGCGCCGCTGTTGAAAAATCGCTGCATGCGCCCGGCCGACATCAGATGGCGGGAGAGGATGCGTCCACATCAAGATAAATGAGCGTGCGTCTTCTTGTTGTGTTGCTGCTGCCGTTGATGTGGAACCTGTCCCTGCCCCTGCCACTATAAGCCGGGAATCAAAGTTATAATAATGCATAAGTAATTTGCAGCAGAAGCAATCGGAGAGAGCCATCAGCTCGTGCCACGGCTGCTCACTGCCTTGACGACAGCTAATCCAAACCGGCCAAAACAGCACCCAACAGGGTCAGGACAGTCCTCTTCCCCCTGAAGCCATCTCTTTCTCTCACTCCCTGCCACTTTTGGATAGTTATTTATTAACTGAGAAGCACTTTATCTGCATATCGTTAAAGGGATACCAAATATTGGAGAACATGTACTTTAAAAGCAATTTTAAGAAATGTAAAACGAAAACTGGAGCATGTGTTAATGCTGAGGTTTTGGTTAGCGAGAAATCTGATGTATAGCAATGGCTCAGCTGGTCCAGCAAGTGTAGTATTTAATAATACTTGAGTACATAATAGTTAATTAAATAATGGCAGCTTTTAAGCTTCTTTGCTCCATTAGAACCTCAATTGCACTTCAAGGGTTGCAAGGGTCGTTAATTAATTAAGGAACCACTATGGAAACTGCTACTGCAGCCTTCAATTATCGATTTTAATTCCTTGAAATTCCTTTTAGTAACCGTCTGTACTGAACCACTGTAGTGCAGCATTAACTTGCCTCTCAAGTTCAGCCAAAAGGGAGCGCAGCACAATGGCCATTGCCATTGGCATTGGCAGACCCAAATCCAGTCCCAGTCCCAGCATAGGGCCAGAGCCAAACAATGCCGCGGCTTGTAAAGACAAGGGAAACCCAAACAGTGGCGGTCCCGAGGCAGCGGCCAGTGAACTAGATTTTTCATTGCAAAAAAAAAAAAGGAAAAAAGCTAACAAAGAGAACTACGGAAAAAATGAAATCAGGAAGTGTATTATATAATTTTATAGATACTAAACTCAACTTTGACACAAATCGGCTGAGTGCGGTCTGTAAACATGACATTTGCTGTACACGAATCCGGCAAGGAGCCCGGGCCAAGCTGGGCTGAGAGGATTGGGGCATGCTGCCGCATGGTTGGGACCGCTTCTTTGGACAACAACATAGAGCTGAAGCTGCTGCGAGTGATGCTTATCGCAAAACGTTCAATTATTTTATTTGGTGCAGATGTGGCCGGCGATAAAAGTGCCTGATAGCAACGGCATCGACATCGACATCAGCAGCGGGCCAGAGGAGCTGATGCTGGAGCTCGCGTTCGGTAGCAGCGGGTACAGGCCAACCAAGCCTAATGCCGCACTCGAGAGCACAAAGCGAGGAGTACGAAGAGCTGCCCTACTCGTCGCCTGATGCTGTGCCTGCTTCTGCTTCTGCATCTTCCTCAGTCTCTGCCTCTGCCTCTGCCTGTGCAACTGCAACTGCTGTTGCGGCTTTGACTTCCACTTCTGCTGCTGCTTTGTATATGAGATTCAATTAAAATCAGCAGAGGCCAGTCCAGGCCAAGCCAGGCAGCGGAAAAAGCAGCTAAATAATTGACACAAGAAAGCAAAGCCGCAAATTTGCCGAGCAGCAGGCAGCTGGAGCAAAAAAATGTGTCATCCTATAAATGTTTGTGCCGATGGTCAGCCTCATAAAGTGGTCTTAGCAGGAGCCACTCTTTGAGGGGACAATCTACAATGATTCTACATAGATAAGTGATGGAACTAGTTTTAGCAGTACATTTAATAATATCTGCTTAAATTTTTGTAGAATTTTATACCATAAATTCCCAGCTTAAAATGCCCTTAAGCTGGCTCAAAGATTAGAAAAAACTTTCCTAATCTCCAATATTGACTGTCAGTCGAGGCCAAAGACGAAACTTTGGCTCAAGCCGCACCGAGCACACAGGCTGTGTACAGTTGGCACCAAAAAGTTGCAATTAAAATAGTTGAAGCGGAGAGCAGAGCCGAGAAGTGCTGACCAACATCCACAAACTGCATCCAGATGCGGAAACTGTGGGTGGGCCAGCCCAATGGCAATGACGACGTGGCTGCTCCTCGCCAGCAATCGCTCGCTATTGTTTGCTGCTCTTGCTGTTGCTTTTGCTCTTGCAATTACAATAACAATTATTTTATTTAAGCTATTATTGATCGGGGAGAAACCAAAAAGTTGGTTGCCGCAGCAGCCGAACCATTGCCATTTTGTTTTCGGCCAAAGCGGAAACGGAAAGTGTGCCATTATGTGAGAGGAACTGCAGCTGCAGCTGGACCTTTATTTAGTTATCCTGCTATGGCCACGGCTAAACTGAATGGAACTGAGCTGAACCGCACTTTGTGGCCAGAGCGTGTTCACTGTGAAAGTTGGTGTCTCCTGGTTTCTGTGGCAGCAACTGGAGCTGGAGCTTCACAAAAAAAAAGTATGTTGCAGTTGAAGAATTTTGTTTTGTCACTGCTGCGACGTTTGCTGGTTCTCGCGTTGAACTTTCCACGCGTAACGAGAAAATCAAATCAAAATCGCAATCAAATGCAAATTGGTATTAGATTGGTTTATGTGTGGCCGCTTCGGAAGGTAGGCACAGCACCGCACCGCAACGCAGCTCAACTTTCAAATTAGACAGCCACACAGTCCCGTTGTATCCATCTCACCTCATGCATCCACGCATCTGTCCGGATCCGGGAAGCTGTGACAGCAGTCCTTCGCCCCAGCTGAAAGTGAATTATATTCGCTGCTTTTGCCACCATATTCAGCTCCATCTCCGCCATCTATCCTGCGTTGGGGTAAATATAAAAGAAATACGGGTAAAGGGCAACGCAGTTAATAACAAAGTGAAGGAATATGCGACAGCAGCTGTCGCGATTTCAAACAGCTTTCAAATGCCAAAAGGTACGCCACAAATGCCACCAGTCATGTCACTGCCAAGGAGAGCCACGGAGTCACCCGTGCCGCCCTACACCGGGCTCACTCAAATTGAGTTTGATCATATTATAGACTACCCACCTCTGTGGGGTGGCATCCGGAGTCTGTTCGGAGTGGTGCCCCTTCTAAGCGAATATAATTCTTTAGTTATGTCCCATCCCAACTGCTGAGTGGCTTAAACAGTGATAAACCAAAAATATTATATTTAATCTGATGAAAATAGGGCTGAAAATATTTCATATTTAAGAATCTGTATCTGTGGATATTGTGTATGCTGCTGAGGATCTTCCTACACTGGCAGTTGCGAATTGTTTGCATTCGATTTTTGCGACATTTATGCAAAGTGGTAGAGTAGAGCGGTAGAGCGTTGGATCCGATGGGAACAGGAGCTGTCCGCTGCCATTCGAGTGCTCTGGCTCGTAAGTATCTGCTTGCCTCTGCCTGCCTTCCTGCCTGTGTGTGCTTTTCTTTTACTTCGATGCACACAAAGGGCCCTGCAAAACTGTCATTGGCAAAATCAAAACAATAAGTTTGTTATTTTTGAGCACAGCCAACGAACCACAATGTCCCATCCCAACCCATGCGGCGAACATGCTCCTTTCTTTCACCAATGTGCCACACCCACTTAAAGGCTAAGCAATTTGCTTGCTTGCCTATCCTTGGCTAACGATTTCAGTGCCCAGAGCCTGTTTGTGTTGCCGTTGCCGTTCTTTCAGCTCCTTCTGCTGCTGCAAACATAATTGATTTCAAACTTTCGTTGGGCACAAACTTCCATGTGGCCAGATAATTTAACTAATATCAGCAATTGTCTGCCTAACAGGCATTAATTGTTGCACATTCTGCGCCTGTCACACAACTCCAACGCATGCCATAACCAATTATAAATAATTGTCTGAAAAATTTCGTACTTTTCCAACTGCCCTGGCGAATCTCTTCTAGGCATAGAAACAGATGCAGTCGGGCGGGTTTGGGTTTGGGTTAGCATGCAAATTTACATATTTGACAGGCTTGTTATGGTCAGGAGTCGAATAGTTTCTGGCTTTGACATTTTGTGCAGCAGGTTTTGGCCAAATATTTGAACAATTTGAGTGGCAGTTGATTTTGCTGGCATTCAAAATTATTGCCAAAAATTTCACGCTCTCCTGGATTTGTGTGTGAAGCAATTAAATTCTAAACGTTGGTTCATTTCCATACATACATATGTATGTGGATGATGGATGTCTACTGTTGCAGTCAAAAGATATAAGCAGGCAGTAGGCAGTTCATATCTCAAAAAATACTATTCACAGTGCTAGTTAATGTAAATCGCATAATCAGAATCGGTACTACATACAGGGAACTTAATGTTGTTCCATCGCGGGTCATTCCATATCCATTCGCCCCACTGACAGGACATTCCGTACAGCCCTCTTGGCGTTTGACAACTACAATGCTTTTATTGGAACACCGCACAAAATTTATGCACCTTAATATGTGGTGCCAAATTATGTACACTTCATTTCATGTACAATATCGAAAGAAAAACCTTCATATATATTGTATTTTTTTCACCCAAGAGCCACCACCCACACACACACACATCAGGTGCAGAAGGAGATGTTCCAGCAGCCTGTTGACCTGCGTGCTGAAGTGGTTGGTGCGTTTATTGTATACCTAGAGAGGAAAAAAGAAAGGAAAAAAACTGTGGACGTGCCAGAAAATATGGGAAGTCCTTGGAGCTAGTCCTCGGCCTCGCCCCAGACCCTATGTGAATATATAAGCACATGCGAACTCGACAAATTCGACACAAATGTGAAAATGCGACAAGATTTATGCCAAAGTAATAAATATAAATGCGGTTTTGAGTAGAAAATAGAATTATAGCAACATTCTGTACACACCCAAAGGTGTATACTCGTACATGTATTTCGTGGTCAAGTGTGTGCTTGGACTGGACTGGGGCAGTAAATCATTGTGGTTTGCCCGGCCATTTATCGTGCCGCCCTACGCAGCCCTCTGGCCATATGTTACACGAGTGTAAATATTGAAATAACTTAAGGAAGTCGGCTTGAAATTCTTTGACCGGTCGTTGGCGCCTCTGGACCAGTCGTATGGACAGCCAGGCGCCCCAATAAATCACACAGCCAAAGAGCATCGATCGCCGTCGCAGCGGGCGTATGCGTAATCTTCTTCAAAATTGCATTGGCAAACAAATGCCGTTGCTAAGGCTGCACACACACTGCACGTTCAGAGCAGAGATGGAAGAAAAAGCGAAAATTTCTATATTTTTTGGCTTACCAATCAGAATCAGAATGTACCTTCCACACCCACTCGTTCAGCCCCTTCATAGGGCTGTGTGGAGTTTCCAACGACTTGCAAAAATATGCAGAATTTGCAGCTTTTTCGAATGGTTTATGGTTATTTGTGTTGCACTCTTAATGCTATTGAACTTGCACTTAACAAATGGCATCGAGCCCTGCCACCAGCTCCACAGTGCACTCCATTTAGACGATGAAATAAACGTGGCTTCCAGTTGCTTCCTTCCTGCCATCTATTCTCTATTTCCCCGCCACCATTGGCATCCTCTGCGTCCAGCGTGCG